TCATTTCGATAATTGTGAACTGGATGGACGTGCTGCGATGGCCGAGTGGTTAAGGCGTCTGACTAGAATCATGAAAATGACTGTTAGTGATCAGATGGGTTCTCCCGCGTAGGTTCGAATCCTACTCGCAGCGTTTCTCTCTTTTTTTTTCGCTTATTGAGAGATGAAGTTTCGTGTAATATGACTGACAATTCACACGAAAGAGGAAGAAAGGTTTTTGTTTTATAGTTGTGCTATGTAGAAGACTTCAACCCTTTTCCTCATATGGTATGTGATAGCACGAATGAAACGAAATCCGAATGAACGATTTGGACCGCGAAGAAAAACCTCGGTGACAATATTTTGGTCGTGGAACTATAGAAATATATATTCAGTCATTTCAAAAATCACCTTTCTTGAAGTTTTAATAAGACGTTAGTAGCATAATAATTGAAGTTCAGTGTATGCTGTAGCGACGTGTACACCTCTGTTCGGAGTAACAAAAAAACGAAAAGTAGAAAATCATATGAAAGAACCAAAGAGTGATTGTATCGTTCCCCGTCGTCCTCGTTCAGAATCCGAGAAAAGCCTCGACGAACTATTATAAATCAATTTCCAACTTGGATCCCAACAATCAGTGGCCCGAAACGTGGAATAGAGTAGGAACCAGGATTTTCTCCGTCTGATGACAAATACAAAGTGTAATTACAAGCACGATGCCTTGTAAAAAATGTAGTCAAGTCACCATCAAACTCAACTAAACTATTCCCACTGACTGTTGTATGTCGAATTGCATATATAGTCTCATTCATTGGCATCGTGACAGTTGTGTCTGTGAGAAAGAAAGAAAGTTTTCCGGAAAATCATCTGTCCTTAGTTGTCGGTGAATCTTGATTGTTAAACTGCGTAGACAATTTGTATTTTCGCTGTTTGGCACTAATCGTAGCTGTTATTAGTTGAGATTTGAACGACTAACTCGTCGGTGAGCACAGTGGATTCGAAAAACATTGACAAAAACACAAAAGTCAGTTGAATTGATAGATGATATTCATATGCATTTTCTGGAACATGTCAACTTGTTTTTTTTTGTTTTCGATAATAATAACATTTTGTCTGCTAAAATCGTGCTATTGTTACAGGCACAACATTTCTTTTAGGTTTTCTAACACCCTAGATCATCCATCTGATGTTCAATAAGACCTAATTGTATTAATTCGAGAGATAGTATTCATATCCGATCAATATTCTTGTTCATCGAGAAAATAACTTAAATTTTCATCGAAATATACAAAGAGATTTGAGATTCGCGTTTGATCGATTTGAATAACAAAGAAAACTGCTTTTGTATCTGTATTATCAAGAGCGAGATAACTCATTGAAAGATTTTTATCACCACTTGTAGATTAAAAAACCATTGAGTGCAATCAGATCTCGTTCATTTTATTAAATTCTTCAATCTCTATCCAATAGACACTAAAAAATGATCAAAATTTTGCTTTGAATATCTTTCATTTCTCTGTTGATATTGTATGACGGTAGTTTTGTAATTGAAGCTTTGTTGAATATTCGATATAAAAACAACGATCTCGAGTGTATCACTAAGTTGGCAAACATTTTCCATAATGAGGATTAGTAAAGGATTTCACCACAAGATCAAATAGACAATCATCGATGTATCGCTTTTCTCTTGTCTTCATAGAAAGAACATTTGAATCCATTGATTGTCGTAAATGAGACTTTTCATCATGTTTCTATTTCGAAAGAGAGAAACGAAACAACAACAAATGACAATGACGCATACGTTAAGAAATATCATCAAGATTGATTTGTTTTTGCCATTCCTATACGATGTGAAATAAACACGTTTTAGATCAGAAAAAAAGAAGAAATACATTCTTATAGAACTTCTTCTTTTTCCTTCCATTTGGTTTTTGATGAAATAAACATACAACAGATTCGTTATTATCTTTCGAATGGAGTGAAAAAATGAACAGGAATAAACTTTAGAATCAAGAATATGATTTCGTAGTAAATATCATCGAGAGTGTGTTGCAACGATCACATATATATCGTGTGCATGAACACTCAGATTCTTTGTAATTTTATCGTTTTTTTCCTTTCTTTATGTTTTAGTAGATAAATTTAATTTTTCTTTTGATAAAAACCAAAAAGATTTGAAAAAAGATCAATTCTTTTCAATTATTGAAGTTTTGTAGGCGGTTACATTGTAACAATATCTTGTTGTAAAGAAAAGTATAATATATTTCAATTTCTGAAATTCAATGATGTTAATACTTCTGTCATAATAACGAATGCGTATTCAAGTCAACTGATTTAACAAAGAGCCAAAAAATGATGTTTTCTGTAACATTCAATCATTCTGCATTTTTTATATATTCTAAGGAATTAATCGAGAAAAATTCGAAACAAACTGCTGTGCTTTGAGTTATGCAATGTCAAGCATAATATTCTCAAATATGACATTTGATCATTTATCATTGCTAAAATTGTGTAGAACTCAAAATAACGATGCATTATGAAAGCCGGTTAAAAATCTGAACAATTTTCCATTTGTCCTATTAATATCCCTATCAAAGTTCTCTCGAACATAATTTCAAAAGTGTATCAATCTGTATTTCGATGACGTATCTAAATATTATATTTATACTCAATAATGATTCATTACTCTAAACTAAATAACACACCGTATATTTTTCGCCACATTTGCGTATCGATTTTTTCTTTATCACGCACGAGGGTACGATGTTGAGGGAAAAAACGATATTATACACATTTTCACAAGGCTGTTGGTTATATATTTGTATCAATCAAACATTGTTACATAAATCGAATATAAAAACTATTCGGAAAGGAAATTTAAATGGCAAAACATTATCATGTGTTTGGAATAGGCGATGCGTTTGTTAATATAGAAATGAATGTAACTGATAATGATCTTGAGAACATAGAAATTGGAAAAGGTCGAATGACATTTGTCAATGAAAATCGACAACAAGAATTACTCTATTGTCTTCGTCGTCATTTACTTCATTCAAAACGAACGAATGGAGGTTCTACACTTAATGCTATTCTTGCAATTGCTCAATTCGGTGGTCAAACATTCTATTCATGTCAAGTTGGAAATGATGATAATGGTCGATTTTATTTAGAAAATCTTCAAACAGCAGGTATTGACTATCATCATAACGAAAATCATGAAGATGAAGGTACAACAGGAACGTGTTTAATTTTAACAACACCTGATAATAAACATACTCATTGCATATTTGTTGGTGTTAATGAAATCCAATCTGAATATGATATTTTATCAGATGTTGTTGTTGCATCAGATTATGTTTATTTCGAAGCTTATATGGTTGCATCTATATCGACTTTTACGAGTGTTATTCGTGTATGTGAAATAGCTCGTGTTAATAATGTTAAAATAGCTATGAATTTCTCTGATTCAGACATCATTATGAATTATCATGATCGTCTATGTGAAATATTAAAGAAACCGATTGATTTATTATTTTGTAATCGAACTGAAGCAATTAGTTGGTGTCAAACCGATGAGATTGATATTGTTATTGATAAATTGAAATTAATTGCTCGTACATTTGTTATTACTCGTGGTGTCAAAGGTGCATTAGTTTATGATGGTACTCAATTGCATGATATTGCATCTCAACAAATAGATACAAACGATACAAGAGGAGCAGGCGATATGTTTGCAGGTGCATTTCTATTTGGTATTACACATGAACAAGATTATCTTTCAGCAGGACATTTAGCAAATCTTGCGGCTGCAACAGTTATTTCGAATAATGGATCACGTTTATCTATTGACAAACAAAAACAGATATTAGTACTAGATAATCATCTTCAAAAAAAAACATGATTGTATTGGAAAGTAGTATATAAAAGGTTTCCATAAAAGGAAAAAATTCATACCCGAAATGGATGAGTTTTGTCAGTGTTCAATAACTTTTATGTTGACAACTAAATTCACTGGTGAACTGTGTGGATGAAACATAATACTTTAGTAGTTGTATAATCATGAGACACTGGTCCAATGAATCAAAATTCTATGATATTCAAGATAAAACCTTGATCAATCTAATAGTATTCGTGTAGTGAGGAATATGTCAACGCTTAAAACGCGTTACGCTTCTTGTGGTATTTTCTTTTTCCGACACATTCTCATATACAAGAATCATTGAGATCCATCATATTAGATATTATGACAAATCAGCATACCGTCTTTCGGCCGAAAAAGAGGGAGATATATGAAGTTAATGCTCTTTTACAACATGTGACGTTTTCCCAATGACTCCATTGGTCATAATATCTTGATTTTCTAGAATCGTAAAACAATTATCAATAACTATTTCTTCAATAGACAGACCAAACAAAGTCAGTATTGGATTTGTATTCTCAATGACTGTCCAGTCAAATAAATAAGTTCTTTTGTAATAAGCTTTCGATGTTTGTCCTATTCGACGTTAGTGTACTCGATCTTTCACGACGACCAATTATTATTTCAAAAAAGTGGTAATTCAGTATGGACAAGTTCTTATTTTTCAATATAATACAAACATAGTTTGTTTATTATTATGAGAAAGACTTGAAACAAAAGCAAAATTAAATCATCGAAGAAGTTCTCTAATAAAAGTGATTCTACTGAATAATGTCGAAAGTAAAAATATCGAATTTAAAAAGATCGAAAATAAAAAAATATCGAATACGCAAATTATACAAACATCGAAAAATGGACAAGGTGCGAATGATTTAGTTTGAGAAAGGCATTGTTCTTCACCCTCACCCTCAATCTTACACATCTATCTGCACTCTCTTCTTTGTTTTCGATGGTTTGATTTTCGATGGTTTGATTTTCNGGGTTCTCCCGCGTAGGTTCGAATCCTACTCGCGGCGTTTCTCTTTTTTTTTTTCGTTTATTGAGAGATGAAGTTTCCTGTAATCTAACTGACAATTCACACGAAAGAGGTAAAAAGTTTTTTTTAATAGTTGTGCTTTTCAGAAGACTTCAACTCTTTTTCTCATGTAATATGCAATAGTACGAACGGAACGAAACCCGAATAAACGATTTGGACCGCGAAGAAAAATGTCGGTGACAATATTTTGGTCTTGGAACTATAGAAATATATTCAGTCATTTCAAAAATCACTTTCCTGAAGTTTTAATAAGACGTTAGGTAACATAATAATTGAAGTTCAGTGTATGCTGCAGCAACTTGTACATCTTTCTTCGAAGTAACAAGAAAACGAAAACTAGAAAATCATACGAAAGAACCAATGAATGATTGTATCGTCCTCGTTCAGAAGCCGAGAAAAGTCTCGACAAACTATTGTAAATCTATTTCCAACTTGAATCCAAATAATTAGCGGTCCGAAACGTGGAATAGAATAGGAACCAGCATTTTCTCCGTATGATGACAAATAGAAAGTGTAACTACAAGCACGATGCCTTGTAGAAACTGTATTCAAGTCACCATCAAACACAACTAAACTATTCCCACTGTCTGTTGTGTTTCAAATTGCATATAGAGTCTCATTCATGGGCGTCGTGACGGTTGTGTCCGTGAGAAAGAAAGAAAGTTTTCTGGAAAATGATCTATCCTTAGTTGTCGTTGAATTTTGATTATTATTAAACTGTAGACAATTTGTATTTTCGCTATTTGGCACTAATCGTCGCTGAGCACAGTACATTCGAAAAACATTGACAAAGACACAAAAGTCAGTTGATTTGATCGATGACAGATTAACCAGTAAATAACGCGAATCGAACGATGCAAAATATTGTAGCTAACGGAAAATAGAACAATCAACACAATAGTTCTCATATTTATATACATTTTCTGGAACATATCAAAATGTATTTGACCAATAAATACTGTTCATATAGTCCAATAGAAACAATCACATGACAATTATTCTTTTCTTTTCGATAATAGTAACATTTTGTTTGCGAAAACCATGCCATGGTTACAAACACAACATTTCTTTTAGCTTTTCTAACATCTTAGATCATCCATCTGATGTTCAATTAAATCTAATTGTATTAATTCGAAAGATAGTATTCATATCCGATCAATATTCTTGTTCATTGAGAAAATAACTTAAATTTTCATCCAAATATACAAAGAAATTTGAAATTCGCGTTTGATAGACTTGAATAACAAAGAAAACTGCTTACGTATCTTTATTATCGAGAGTGGATAAGACTCATTGAAAGATTTTTATCACCACTTGTAGATTAAAAAACCATTGAGTGCAATTAGATCTCCTTCATTTTATTAAATTCTTCGATCTCTATCGAATACACACTAAAAAAAATGATCAAAATTTTGTTTTGAATATCTTTCATTCGATAAAAACAACAATCTCGAGTGTATCACTAAGTTCGCAAACATTTTCCATAGTGAAGATTAGTAAAAGATTTCACCACAAGATCAATAAGATAATCAGCAATGTATCACTTTTGTATTATCTTCATAGAAAGAACATTTAAATCCATTGATTATCATAAATGAGACTTTTCCTCATGTTTCTATTTCGAAAGAGAGAAACAAAACAACAAGAAATGACAATGACGTATACGTTAAGAAATATCATCAAGATTGATTTGTTTTTGTCATTCCTACGATGTGAAATAAACATACAACAGATTCATTATTATCTTTTAAATATGATCATCGAGTGAAAAATTGAACAGAAATTAACTTTAGAATCAAGAATATGATTTTGTAGTAAATGTCATCGAGAGTGTGTTGCAACAATCACATGTATTATGTGTGTGAACAATGCAGATTGTTTGTAATTTTATCGGTTTTTTCCTTTCTTTATGTTTTAGTATATAAATTTAATATTTCTTTTGTTAAAAACGAAAACGATTTGAAAAAAATGAATTCTTTTTAATTGTTGAAGTTGTAGACGATTACATTGTAAGAATATTTTGTTGTAAAGAAAAGTATGATATAGTTTAATGTTTGTAATTCAATGGTGTTAATACTTCTGTCATAATAATGAATGTATATTCAAGTCAACTCATTGAACAAAGAGCTAAAAAAAGAAACAATAATGATGTTTTTTTGTAACATAAAATCATTCTGCATTTTTTTTATATATTCTAAGGAATTAATCGAGATAAATTAGAAACAAATTGCTGTGCTTTGAGTTACGCAATGTCAAGTCTAATACTCTCAAATATGACATTTGATCATTTATCATTGATAAAATTGTGTACAACTCAAAATAACGATGCTGTATTATGAAAGCGCGTTAAAAATCTGAAGAATTTTCCATTTATATTACTATCAAAGTCCTATTGAACATAATTTCAAAAGTATATCAATATATATTTCGATGACGTATCTAAATATTATATTTATACTCAATAATGATTCATTACTCTAAACTAAATAACATACCGTATAGTTTTCGCCATATTTGCGTATCGGATTTTTTCTTTATCACGCACAAAGGTATAATGTTGAAGGAAAAAAACGATATTATACACATTTTCACAAGGTTGTTGGTTATATATTTATATTAACCAAACATTGTTACATAAATCGAATATTAAAACTATATTAGGAAAGGAAATTTCAATGGCAAAACATTATCATGTGTTTGGAATAGGCGATGCATTTGTTAATATAGAAATGAATGTAACTGATAATGATCTTGAGAAAATTGAAATTGGAAAAGGTCGAATGACATTTGTCAATGAAAACCGACAACACGAATTACTTTATTGTCTTCGTCGTCATTTACTTCATTCAAAACGAACGAGTGGTGGTTCGACACTTAATGCTATTCTTGCAATTGCTCAATTCGGTGGTCAAACATTCTATTCATGTCAAGTTGGTAATGATGATAATGGTCGATTTTATTTACAAGATCTTCAAACAGCAGGTATTGATTATCATCATAACGAAAATCATGATGATGAAGGTACTACAGGAACATGTTTAATTTTGACAACACCTGATAGAAAACATACTCATTGCATATTTGTTGGTGTTAATGAAATACAATCTGAATATGATATTTTATCAGATATTGTTGTTGCATCAGATTATGTTTATTTCGAAGCTTATATGGTTACATCTATATCGACTTTTACTAATATTATTCGTCTATGTGAAATAGCTCGTGTTAATAATGTTAAAATAGCAATGAAGTTTTCTGATTCAGATATCATTATGAATTATCATGATCGTCTATGTGAAATATTAAAGAATCCGATTGATTTATTATTTTGTAATCGAACTGAAGCAATTAGTTGGTGTCAAACCGATGAAATTGATATTGCTGTTGATAAATTGAAATTAATTTCTCGTACATTTGTTATTACTCGTGGTGTCAAAGGTGCATTAGTTTATGATGGTATTCAATTGCATGATATTGCATCTCAAGAAGTAGATGCAATTGATATTAAAGGAGCAGGTGATATGTTTGCAGGTGCATTTCTATTTGGTATTACACATGCACAAGATTATCTTTCAGCAGGACATTTAGCAAATCTTGCAGCTGCAACAGTTATTTTGAATCATGGATCACGTTTATCTATTGACAAACAAAAACAGATATTAGTACAAAATAATCATCTACAAAAAACAACATGATCATATTGTAAAGTAGTATATAAAAGATTATTATAAAAGTAAATAATTCATATCCGCGAAATAGATGAGTTTTACCAGTTTTCAATAGTTTTTATATTGTGGCAACTAAATTCACTGATGAACTATATGGATGAAACATAATACTTTAGTAGTTGTATAATCATGAGACACTGGTTCAATGAATAAAAATTCTATGATATTCAAGATAAAATTTTGATCAATCTAATACTATTTGTATAGTTAAGAATATGTCAACGCTTAGAACGGCTTTCGCTCTTTGCTATATTTTCTTTTTTCGACACATTCTCATATACAAGAATCATTGATATTCATCATAGTAAATATTATCACAAATCAGTATGCCGTCTTTAGGTCGAAAAAGAGGGAGAGATGTAAAGATAATACCATTGTTAAAAAAAGTACTATGATAAAAACAATATCTATAGAAATCTATCAAGAATATGATGATGATGATGATAAGAATGATCTGAAGAAATTTTTATAAAATATTTTCTAAAATAATATTTATTACTCACCAGAGGAGACATCATTCAACGTAGAACAAACGTTCTGTTTTGTTTTTCTTTACAATAGGATCTATAGACACAAAAGACAACATTATACTATTATGTGTCAGCGGAATTTTCCATTTGATCTCTTTCATACAAGAGCAATGAGTTTACGAATGGTTCTTTTTGAACAGACAAACATACCAGGGAAGGTCGAACGTTTTCAAATCAGGTAAAATAAGATTATTGGATGTTCTGGAAAACTTTTACTTACTCATATGATATAAACTAGAGTGAATTCAGTCACTAGAAGTTATGATAATGTAATAAATGACTTTCACTTCATGTCGCTTTTCTGGTATTTTTATCGTAATATAGAAGTAATGACGCAAAAAGGTTCTCTATTGGTATTCAAATAATGCTCATTCGATCTGACAACGTAAAATTTGATACTGAAGAAATTTCAATGGGTGAGTTCAAGTCAGGCTCAAGTCTAACGAGGCTGAGGGCTTCACAGCCTATGAAACATACAGTGCAATGTGTTTTAAAATGCTTCTAAAAACACGATTTCACGTGTATTTTATAGAAAGTTGTTGGTTCATAGAATTCAAACACGTTCTTTTTGGCATACTATACCTCGAAGATATTTAACGGGGTAGATCATATTGAAATGCACTAATCAATCATTCAGTTGCGACTATGTTGATTTCGAATATTATAGAATTTACGGTCAATGGGTTGATGAAGCGCCTGGTTTTCTCGAAAACTCGAGCTTCTCAGAAAAAAGGTTTTTCTGATGTTTCCGAATGATAGAAGATATTCAATTCTATATAAGACTTTTCTTCACGCGAACGAAAGTGGTTCTTAGAGTTATGAGTATGTAAATGTAAATTCTGATGTATCAATTTGAAAGTATCACGACGAAACAAAGATTTAGCTAGAAAGTTTTTTACTAAATAAATTCCGTCCATTAAAAACTGATCTATGTGGTCCAGAATTAAATTCTTTATCGAATAAAATTATTTTTATGAAGAAGGCTCATTTGTGTAGAAAGTTATAAATAATCCGTTGTCTTTTCGTGCTATAGCTTCACATCGATAGAATACTTCAATTTTCGAAGACAATTTATCCAGATTCATAGTATAATCAGTTGTGATTGACTAAGATTTTCTTATTTTGAATGTTAAAAATAACTTTTGATGTATCAATGAGTTAGTATATAATTCGAAATTGCGACAAATATTGATAAACGACAAGATCAATGTAAAGAATGATTGTTTGATGATGTATTCTGTGAATAAGCATCCGAAAGTTTTCTTTACGCGTAATTTTATAGAAATATGTTAGTATGAGGTGGAATACTTAAATTTATTTCTTCAGAGAACTTATTTAATTTCATTAACTATATATTAGTATTTCAGCACATCTTTATCTGCTCTTTGTCTTCATTCGCTTTCATTCTCATTCTCAAAATTTTCTTAAAGCCAAAAACTAATAACATAAGAATTATTTTGTAACTTTTCTGTATAGTACATCGTCTTTTTCAGTTCATATAGTTCGTCTTTGAAGCGTTGGAATTCATTGTATTCTTGTACGTTTTTAATTGAACGCATTTCCACTGTCAAATTTGTTAATTTCTTAAAATCTCTTCTGACAACATTGATAAATTCACATAGAGTTCTATAATAATTATCAGCGATAAACAATTGTTTTGAATAGAATTTCAACGTTCTCAAACTTTTTGATAGACCAAGTTTTGATAGTTCTAAGAAAAATGTCGAATGATAATGGTAATTCGTAATAGCTCCTTGTTCATCTTCATCGGAAAATAAACTCAATTCAAAATGCGTGATCTGTTTTTTCCTTGCTTTTGATAGCGGCACGATAACCTGTTCGATTTGTTTGATAGCTTTTTCAGTATTCGTCGTTGTTACGAGTAACAAACTGACATTTGTAGAATGTTGTAAAAGTAGTGATATGAACGAAAGCACATCTATTTTGAGAGTTTCAATATGATAGAAATCAATTCTCTTGAGATTTGAAAATCTTATTTTATCTGATAATTGAAGTTTGTTAGGTACAAGTTCATTATAAGCATGAATTCGTAAGTGTTGACAATTGTAAAGATCCTGTGACTTGTAAACCTCTTCAAATGTTAGTGAGGTCGGTGTGTATTGTAGTAATGGTTGACACTTTTTGAAAGCGTTCCGAGGCTGTGGAATGGGTATCGTAGAAAGTAAGTAGTTCGAATTGCGAAGCGTTTGAACGTACGGAAAGTACGACGATGTTGGTTTGTATAAAGTATGAATGGAAAATTTGAAAGTTTGAAGATGATCGAAGTTAGAAATTAAATTGTTTAGTTTGTCGAAATTGGAAAATTGTGGTTCAGCATTTATTACTATTAATGTGAGTGCTCGTAGTTTTTCTTTAAAGAATTCAAGAAACATTTTTATTACATTTATTTTCGGTTGAACTTCAGGTTCATCTTCATCTTTGTACTGACCAAATTGTAAGTAAAGTTCTTCTAACTTTTCTGGAAGTTCCCATGAATTATTTGATTGCAAATTATCGAAGGTGATCATTAGTAAGTCTATCGATATCAAATGTGGCATCAGTTTGAATAGTTTAGACAAAGGTGTAACAGAAGCCAAAGAAATTTGTAGATGCGTGATCGAAGTTGGCATCCGTGAAACTTCTTCATTAATATCGGATAAACCACGAAAATAAAATAAGTTCAAATCAATTAATTGTGGCAATTCTGAATCACAAAGCACGGTTAATACATTGTCATTGGCAAATGAAACTGTGAGTGATGTTAATGAAGGTATTTGAAAGGCTTCATGAAAAAAATTATGTTCATCTTCTTCTTCGTCGTCGTCGTCGTCGTCTATTATTAATGTTTGTAGATTGTAGAACGAGTGGACTCGATCTTTTAGAAGTTGAAGTTGATGTTGTCCACTGATCTTTAGAACTCGAATATTTTCTCTGTATAAAGGAAGAATATACTCGAAAAATAGACAAAATTGTCGATACGAAGGTTTATTTTTGTATGTTAGGTCAATTGTATGGGAATATGATTCGAGAATTTGCTCAAACCTCCAATTCAGCTGATTGAATGCGTATAACAGATCAAACTTTTGTAGATAACCAAATATAAATAGTAGTAATTCATCTGGTAGTTGTTCGAAATGCATGCCTTTTTTTATGTCACTAAAGAGAAAGTGTGCTATAAGTATATACAATAAGTGAGAAAAAGATATCATGACTAACCTATGATGATATTCAGTTGCAGAAAGAACAACCATTGACGTGTTAGTGTCCATAGGTGACACTACATAGCGCTACCTACATAGATTATATGTATTATACATAGGTAGACACCAATATATTATTATCGTTTTTCTGTTCTAGTTCTAGATGCTATTCGTTAACTAAGTTATTTTCCTTCTTTCGTTTATGTCGATTATGTGGTGTAATGGGTTCAAAACTGGCCATGACAATTGGATCTCACCCTTTAGAACACAATTCTACACATAGTGAAAGATGCATTATTCAAAATCATCTCCATCTCCAATACCAACCATTCATTGAATGTTTTCTTTATTTATAAGAAATATAACGAATATTTCTATCACACAGCAACAATCATATGTGCTATAGTAATAGTATTTTATTGAAAATAAGAAAAAAATAGATGCATTAATAAAGTGAACGAGGTCATTCACCACAAGAAAAATTAGCTTCAAAATGAGAATAAGAAAGTTTATATAAGTTTTTGAATTTCATTATTGGTCGTATAGTTTCAAATTCTAAAATAAATGACAGTCTGCATATTGTTATGTATATAGCAAGTCTATACTTATAGAAAACTCTCCAAAAGTTAGCGATTTGAAAAAACTTAGATCTTAAATTTTCCCCTATTCTTTTTTTTCTAATAATAATTGAATATGAAGGTGATAATTGTTTTTACTACACAACAGAAAGTTAAGGCTAGATTTTAAACAGGGTTACCGTGTTAGGATCGACCACTAAATGCCCTCTATAATTTAAGAACCACTTCTCCATACCTCGCTCGTCTCGTTATTTCCAAAAGTCTATGCTCATGTGGAGAATGTTTTCCATAAATGAATTGATTATAATCCGTAAATAAATGTAGATTTGGCGAAGTGTATTATCGTAACTCTATTTTAGTCAAAAATAACTTTCTCTGGGATTTTAATCGGACGTGGATGAAACATCTGAAAAGTTATCGGTGAGAAGGATCCTGAACTACTCACTTGATTGAGAACAACAATAGTAGTACCAACAGTATTCCATGGGCACCATGATGATTAATATTAGAAATGCTACTAGATGCCATTGTAGTAGAATTGCCAATAGGGGTAGTTGTAGTAGAATTACCAATAGTGGTAGATGTAGTAGAATTACTACCAAAAACAGTTGTGGAAGTGCTACTAGGAGCAATGGTGGTAGTAGCGCTGAAAGTAACTGTTGCGGAAGTGCTACTAGAGGCAATGAAAGTAGTGGCGCTTGAAGTAACTGTCGTGGAAGTGCCACTAGAAGAAGCAGTGGTAGTAGTAGCGCTGGATGTAGCTGTTGTGGAAGTGCTACCAAAAGAGACAGTAGTTGTAGTACCAGCATTGCTACAACAATAATTACAACAAGCACTGGCAGCATCAGCAGTTATATTGAAAGGATTAGTAGCAATGTAACTACCTAAACTAGCACAAGTAGAGTAATAGCCAACAGGAACTGTAAAAGTAGGAAAAGTAATATTGGAAATCGTAATGGTTTGAGTGGTGAACGTCGCAGTAGTAATGTTAGGAATCGTAACGGTCTGAGTTGTAAAAGTCGGAGTAGTGATATTGGAAATCGTAATTGTTTGAGTGGTAACTGTCATAGTTGTAAACGTCGGAGTAGTAATGTTGGGAATCGTAATAGTTTGAGTAGTAACATTCACAGTTGTAAACGTCGGAGTAGTGATATTTGGAACCGTAATGGTTTCAGTGGTCACAGTCATAGTTGTAAAAGTTGGAGTAGTGATATTGGAAATCGTAATTGTTTGAGTGGTAACTGTCATAGTTGTAAACGTCGGAGTAGTAATGTTAGGAACCGTAATAGTTTGAGTGGTAAACGTTAAAGTAGTCATATTAGGAGTTTGAATAGTGGAAATAGTTGGAACACTGAAACCAGGACATGTACAACTACGATAACCGTTGCCATTACCATTAATAACATACCCACCTAGACAATTACCATCATCGTTACCATCACTACACCCAGCAGTATTACAACTAGCACTGTTAGGTCCGTTTCCTGGAGTAACATAACAATTACAACCGGCTGGAGGGTCGCCGTTTGTTGGATGCAAAGCTAAAAGCAATGCGACAAAGACAACTGTTTTGCCTTGAATCATTAATGTTGGCTTCTATGTATCGTACTTGAAAGTATGAGGGTAATTAGTGTAGCGACACACAATTTATTTCTCTACACATAGAAAGCGATCGGAGAGAAAATAAAAAACGAAAACAAACCTGCTCATTTCTACCTCTCATATACATATACATATATTTCAGTCTTCCTTTTAACTATGGACACGCCTTTAATATCATCATATTTAGCGACAACAACAAGAATAGCACGCTGTGATACAGTGACGTTTAAGGATGCACTTTGGTCGTAAGGTAAACAAAACAATAATAAGCTCTTTTACGTAGAGTAGTATGTGATTACTCATACATTTTGAATTTATTGAAACGTATGAAAAACACTGAATAAAGAAGATTATTTCTGAAGTGAATATGTGACAAATATTGTTTCATTCAAACAATGATCAGCTGTGCATTGATGAGAACGAGAATATGCATAACGATGTTGCAATATGATATAAATTAAGAACTGATTTATCATCTTTGTGTCGTGTATTTCAACAGTGTAAGATTTTATAAATAAAAATGGATCATATAGACATCCCAGATGAAACATTGAATAAACAATTGAAGTGAAAATGTATATCTGCAACATAATGTCGGATGTGATGAAGATTTGGATTCAGCTACATATGAATAACTGATCCTTTTCTTTTGTAATATTCTTTTCTTCTAATATCTAACGACTAACGAATATTTATTATTCAATTTCGTGTAAAACTTATATTCTGATAGTAATGATCAGTCATTTGAAAGTCGATTGGGACGACCGCTTTCAAGTAAAATATACATTAAGATTGAGGGAGAAACGAAAAACATCAACTGTGTGTCGTATAATACATCTCGTGAGAATAAATATTTTCTATCTTTGCGAGTGATGACATCATGAGTAACATCACATTTGTTTTTCGAAAACAGAAAAGAGCTATTTTATTATATGGATCTCTTTTTGTTTCAAATGACTTAAAGAAAGAAATTAATAACATCTTACGAATTCTGGTGACAAACAGAATTTATTATAATTGAAAATTCATTCTATTTCTGTCTCCAACCTATCATTAATTATCGATATTGATAAGATATATATTCTTGTGGAAATCAAACCATATGCAATTTATATATCGATCGTTCTGAGANATCGAATTTAAAAAGATCGAAAATAAAAAAATATCGAATACGCAAATTATACAAACATCGAAAAATGGACAAGGTGCGAATGATTTAGTTTGAGAAAGGCATTGTTCTTCACCCTCACCCTCAATCTTACACATCTATCTGCACTCTCTTCTTTGTTTTCGATGGTTTGATTTTCGATGGTTTGATTTTCGATATTTTTCCTTTCGACATTTTAATATTTCGATCAATTTCAGGTTAACCTTTGGCGCACAATTTCTCGAAGATATTTAACGGGTGAATCACATTGAAATGCACTAACCAATCATCCGGTTGCGATTATGTTGATTCTGAATATTAAGGTATTTACAATCAATGGGTTGATGAAGCGCCTGGTTTTCTCGAAAATTCGAGCTTCTCAGAAAAAAGGTTTTTCTGATGTTTCCGGATGATAGAAGATATTCAATTCTATATAAAAACCTATTTTAGTAAACAAGGAAGCTCATTTGTGTATAAAGTTATAAACGATCCGTTGTCTTTTCATGCTGGATTCACATCGATAGAATACTTCAATTTTCGAAAACCATTTATCCAGATTCATAGTATAATCAGATGTGATTGACTAAGATTTTCTTGTTTTGAGTGTTAAAAATAAGTTTTTATGCATCAGTGAATTAGCATATAATTCAAGATTACGATAAGATCAATCTAAGAATGATTGTTTGATGATGTATTCTGTGAATAAGCATTAGAGAGTTTTCTTTACGTAATTTTGTAGAATCTGGCCTTTGCCTTCATTCACTTTCGCCCTCATTCTCAAAATTTTCTTAAAGCCAAAAACTAATATTATAAAAATCATTTTGTAACTTTTCTGTATAGTACATCGTCTTTTTCAGCTCATGTAGTTCGTCTTTGAAGAGTTCGAATTCATTGTAATCTTGTACGATTTTAATTGAACGCATTTCCACTGTCAAATTCGTTAATTTCTTAAAATCTCTTCTGACAACATTGATAAATTCACGTAGGGTTCCATAATATTTATCAACGGTAAACAATTGTTCTGAATAGAATTTCAACGTTCTCAAACTTCTTGATAGACCAAGTTTCGATAGTTCTAAGAAAAATGTCGAATGATAATGGTAGTTCGTAATAGCTCCTTGTTCATCTTCATCGGAAAATAAACTCAATTCAAAATGTGTGATCTGTTTTTTCCTTGCTTTTGATAGCGGCACGAGAACCTGTTCGATTTGTTTGATAGCTTTTTCAGTATTCGTCGTTGTTACGTGTAACAAACTGACATTTGTAGAATGTTGTAAAAGTAGTGATATAAACGAAAGCACATCCATTTTGAGAGCTTCAATATGATAGAAATCGATTCTCTTGAGATTTAGAAATCTTATTTTATCCGATAATTGAAGTTTGTTAGGTACAAGTTCGTTATAAGTATGAATTCGTAAGTGTTGACAATTGTAAAGATCCTGCGACTTGTAAACCTCTTCAAATGACAGTGAGGTCGGTGTGTATTGTAGCAATGGTTGACACTTTTTGAAAGCGTTCCGCGGCTGAGGTATGGGCATCGTAGAGAGTAAGTAGTTCGAATTGCGAAACGTTTGAACATATGGAAAGTGCGACGATGTTGGTTTGTATAAAGTATGGATGGAAAATTTGAAAGTTTGAAGATGATCGAAGTTAGAAATTAAGTTGTTTAATTGGTCGAAATTGGAAAACTCTGGTTCAGCATTTATTACTATTAATGTGAGTGCTCGTAGTTTTTCTTTAAAACATTCAAGAAACGTTTGTATTACATTTATTTTCGGCTGAACTTCAGGTTCGTCTTCATCATTGTACTGACCAAATTGTAAGTAAAGTTCTTCTAATTTTTCTGGAAGTTCCCATGAATTATTTGATTGCAAATTATCGAAGGTGATCATTAATAAATCTATCGATATCAGATGTGGCATCAATTTGAATAGTTTAGACAAAGGCGTAACAGAAGCCAAAGAAATTTGTAGATGCGTGATCGAAGTTGGCATCCGTGAAACTTCTTCATTAATATCGGATAAACCACGAAAATAAAATAAGTTCAAATCAATTAACTGTGGCAATTCTGAATCACAAAGCACGGTTAATACATTGTCATCGGCAAATGAAACTGTGAGTGATGTTAGTGACGGCATTTGAAAAGCTTCATGAAAAAAATTCTGTTGATCTTCTTCTTCTTCTTCGTCTATTACTAATGTTTGTAGATTGTAGAACGAGTGGACTCGATCTTTTAGAAGTTGAAGTTGATGTTGTCCACTGATCTTTAGAACTCGAATATTTTCTTTGTATAAAGGAAGAATATACTCGATAAATAGACGAAATTGTCGATACGAAGGTTTATTTTTGTATGTTAGATCAATTGTACGGGAATATGATTCGAGAATTTGCTCAAGCCTCCGATTCAGCTGATTGAATGCGTATAACAGATCAAACTTTTGTAGATAACCAAATATAAATAGTAGTAATTCATCTGGTAGTTGTTCGAAATGCATGCCTTTTTTATGTCACTAAAAAGAAAGTGTGCTATAAGTATAAATAATAAGTGAGAAAGAGAACAAGGTATCACGAGTGACCTATGATGACTAAGTTGCAGAAAGAACAACCATTGGCGTGTTAATGTCCATAGATGACATTACATTGCGCTAGTTACATAGATGAACACCAATATATTACTTTCGTTTATGTCGATTATGTGGTGTAATGGGTTCAAAATTGGCCATGACAATTGGATCTCACCTTTTAGAACACAATTCTACACATAGTGGAAGATGCACTATGCATTTTCTGGTTCCCCATTTGCATTATTCAAAATCATCTACATCCCCAATACCAACCATTCATTGAATGTTTTCTTTATTTATAAGAAATGTAACGAATATTTCTATCACACAGCAACAACCATATGTGCTATAGTAATGGTATTTTATTCAAAATAAGAAACAAACAGATACATTAATAAAGTGAACGAAGCCATTCGCCACAAGAAAAATTAGCTGCAAAATGAGAATAAGAAAGTTTATATGAGTTTTTAAATTTCATTATTGGTCGTATGGTTTCAAATTCTAAAATAAATGACAGTCTGCATATTGTTATGTATATAACAAGTCTATATTTATAGGGAACTCTCCAAAAGTTAGCGATTTGAAAAAACTTCGATCTTAAATTTTTCCCTATTCTTTTCTTTCTAATCATAATTGAATATGAAGGTAATAATTGTTTTTACTACACAACAGAAAGTTAAGACTAGATTGTAAACAGGATTACCGTGTTAGGATCAACCACTAAATGCTCTCTATAATTTAAGAACCACTTCTCCATACCTCGCTCGTCTCGTTATTTCCAAAAGTCTATGCTCATGTGAAGAATGTTTTCCATAAATGAATTGATTATAATTCGTAAATAAATGTAGATTTGGCGAAGTGTTCTTATCGTAACTCTATTTTAGTCAAAAATAACTTTCTCTAGGATTTTTATCGGACGTGAATGAAACATCTGAAAAGTTATCGGTGAGAAGGATCCTGAACTACTCACTTGATTGAGAACAACAATAGTAATACCAACAGTATTCCATGGACACCATGATGATTAGTATTAGAAATGCTACTAGATGCCACTGTAGTAGAATTGCCAATAGGGGTAGTTGTATTAGAATTACCAATAGTGGTAGACGTAGTAGAATTACTACCAGAAACAGTTGTGGAAGTGCTACTAGGAGCAATGGTGGTAGTAGCGGTGGAAGTAACTGTTGCAGAGGTGCTACTAAGAGCAACGGTGGTAGTAATGCTGGAGGTAACTGTTGCGGAAGTGCTACTAGGAGTAACGGTGGTAGTAACGCTGGAGGTAACTGTTGTGGAAGTGCTTCCAAAAGAGACAGTAGTTGTAGTACCAGCATTGCTACAACAATAATTACAACAAGCACTAGCAGCATCAGCAGTTATATTGAAAGGATTAGTAGCAATGTAACTACCTAAACTAGC